TATCACATAGGGGGAAAACAAGTCCTCTATGCGATAGCAATAATGTTAATGAAAACAAAGATGTAAAAAAATTAAAGTTAAAAAAATTATATATATATTTTTTTAGGGCTGGTAATGATTAAAATTTTCCTGTTCGATCAAATTTTTTTTTAATCGATTAATTATAACGCACATACAGAGGGGGGGTCTCACCGGAGCTTTGAGGGGGCCTCACCAGCCTTGTTAGAACAACAAGAGGGCGCAAAACTAGGTCAGCTGACTGCCTGGACCGAACATATCAGGGAAGGTGACAGGAACAATAAATATATATGTATAATGTACGTTCAGGTAAAGAAGGAAAGGGGGAGGAGTCCGGTGACGTCACGGACATCGGTGTCACGGGACTCCTCCCTCCTTCCCTTCGTTACCCATCACCGACAACTACATCGCCGGACTCCTCCCCCCTTCCCTTCGTTAGCCGACAGAGCCACTCGGGGAAGGGGGAGGAGTCCGTGACGTCACCGGATCTCCGACGGAAGATGCGGAAGCCGGCGGAGTGGCGAGTTCCGATAAAAAAAAATACGATTAATCGTTAATTTCCGCAGCCCTAATATATATTTTTTAATGTCCCCCACATACACATGCAAACATGCGTCGAGTGAGAGCAATAATTCTATGGCCATCGATCACCGATACCGCTAAACTGTTGAGGGGTAACAGCTTTTAAAGCGTCGCTTACGGCCAATTTTGGGTATGGTAGTTTTTTGGCGATTTCGCAGGCACACACAATTTTAAAGCTTTACATGTTTCGTGTCTATTTACCCGATGTGACCCCATCTTTTAACAAAAATTTGGGTAATGTTTTATAACATGGGGAGAACTGTTTTTTCCCAAAAAAATTCAGTACTTTTTTCATTACCACCAAAAGAAATTGGTCACCAAAATTTTTTATAAAATTAATTTCAGTACAGTGTTACGTGAGGGAACAAATGTCAGTCAAAGTACCGCAGCGCTGAATACTGAAAAATGGACTGGGCAGGATGGGGGTATAAACACCCCGGTCAGCAAGTGGTTAAATACCTGTACACAAACCTGGATGGAAACATGGCATGTAAAAATGTGAACCCAAAATTCCGTTCAGGTAAACAGTTTTCCATTTAACAGATCTTTAAAAAGGGTGTATATTAAGAAAAAATACACTCTTTACAACCCTGCTCTCCCGTAGTTATGTTATTTGTGTGTAGTAAATCTAGGAGATATGTAGGTGAGCCACCAAAGGGAGCTCTTAATAGCTTAATGGAATTACTATGTATTAAAGCAGAACTCTGGGCAAAAGTGTTTTTAACCCTTGCAGTGGGGCTACAAAAAAAAACAAAAAAACTTACAGCCGCCTGCTCCTCCACCACCTCGGTCTGGTTTAGGTCTAGTTGTTGCCATATCTGAAGAGAGAAAAAAAAATTACTTATGACAATGACTTATGAAAACACATTTCCATCTTTAAAGCAAACCGGTAGGGCAAAAGTAATAACAATTGCTCATTAAAGCGGGCACCTCAGTGTGCATTAATGTTATCACCAATCCCCCATAGAGAGGAGACTATGGGTCACTGGATGGCTGAGGTGGATTCCCACCTCAGCCATCCTTCTACTGGTTAGTAAAGCTGTCCATCAGTGATGGACCACAACTGTAAGGAGCACGAAATGAGAGTGGGGGAGCCACAGCCAGCAACCACCGAAGCGGATTGGTATTTGAATTACAAGTGAGAGAAAGATTACAGGCATGGGGCAGAGACTTGGAGTAGAAAGGTGTTAAAATATTGTAGGACTTGGGAATAAAAACAACAGAGAAGACAACTGGAAACACAAATTTTTCTCCCTCTTCCGTTCCTCTCCAGATGTATACATCTCTCAGTCTGATGACGTCTGGTGTTTCTGTACACTCCACACTGAGAAGTCTACAGTGGTATGGCCACATATTCACAGTAGTACCCCCTAGTTGTCTATGGGGTGGTGTCGAAGATATATTAGGGGAATCTGCTGTGCAGGCAAGACTTGCTGCACAGTATGTTAAACAACTGTGGCCGCCAAATCAAGGTAAGTATGCACCTGGGGGAGGGCACCTGGGCCAAGGTAAAATATTAGATTGATTGTGCACCCATTCAGGTGACTGAAACACCATTCAGGGCCAAAAAGCTAAAAAGGGAGCTTGGATGCAGCTGGATTATTAGCACTACTTACAGGATTTAAGCTGGCCAAAATAATTGTGGGAATACAATAAAAAAAAAAAAATTAAAAAAAAGTTAACTACTACAAGCAGCACATTATCCAAGTAAAAGCGCCGTCCAGATAATGTGATAAAAGAGAGACTGTTTGGAGGATACATTTTTCAGATAAATGAACGCCAAATCCACTGCCATGCTGGTTTCCAAGCCTAGAAGTATGGGTAAAAGGTGGACTTCAAGGCAGGCAGTAGGAGATCGTCATGTTCTTGTGAGACACAAGGATAAAAGGCTTGGAATACGGAGATCATGAATAATACCCATCTACTGCACATTTTTTTCACAAGGCAGAGAACACAAAGAAGGGAGTTCTCAGCAATGGAGATGCAATCCTTACCATCTCCACCAAGAGCATCGTCTAAGTGAAATCCTGTATCGGGAAAAAAAAACAAAAAAAAGTTAACAGAATTAGCACAGACTGATAAACACATCACCTTTAAAACATGGTGGCAACATAAGTGGATACATAGTACATTTTCCCAATGTGGTATCTTAAAAGGTGAACTCTGTGATAAGCAAATATTGGCTACATACAAGAGTCCTGAGTATTCTAACTCGACTCTTGCTGGGCTTTGTCTATTTCTTCCAGATATGTGCACTAATCCAGTGTGAAAGATTGCCTCTGTGTCAGAATCTCCTGTAATAAAGCATGGTCATTGCTGCTCTCACTCCTTGTGCAGAGGCTGGTCAGCCCTTCCTGTAGTTTTCTGCAGGCAGCCTGTAGTGGATAGGGCCTGCTGGGTCTCTTTGATAGCTCTGCTCTCTGAACAGGCTAGGTACAGCACAGTGGTATTTTCACAAGGCAATATCTGGGATTGCAAAGGCATTTGCTGATCACCAAGTGGATTTAGCTCCTTTGTCACATTAAATGAATATATGTAAATTATTACTTTGTGCCCAGAGTTCAGCTTTAACTACTGCCAGGAAAACAGTTTTCAGGATCTCATGACTAGAAATATATTAACAGTATAATGTACATTTTCTTAAAACAGAACTCCTTGAAAGAAAAAAAAAAAAAAAATCCTCAACTCCTGCAGTTGTGTCTAGGTTATAAAACATAAAAAACACCTGATCTAGACAGATGCGACATTACACACTTCGGCCTGTCTCATCCACTGCTGCAGCCAAGGTATGTCCCTCTGTGTTCTCATATCCTATATACGGTGTATAGAAAGTGCTGACTCAAGGATCCCTAGACTGCTGCAGCAGAGGGGGGGAGAGAGGGTCCAGAAATCGCTTCAAGAGCTAGCTGGCTCTGTGGAGTTGTGGTACATTTTAGATTTCCCCTCACTTTCTGTCCTAGTGATAATGATCACCAGGACAAAAAGAGAGAGAGTGAATCTAAACACACAGGTACAGAGAGCAATAAAAACCTGAAGAGGTTCTAACCCATTACCGCTATCCAAAAGATAGTGGCTTGAAGCAGGATTCTGACCAGGAGCGGGCCTACCGCCGAAGCAGCTGGTGCGGCTGCACCAGGGCCCAAGACTGGGGGAGCCCAGTGAGGTCCGGTCCCAGGCAGTGAGGTCCGGTCCCAGGCAGTGAGGTCCGGTCCTTGCCCTTTGTTTTTATGCTGGGGTGGGGAATTTCCTGGTTGGGCCAGCACTCACAGCTTACTCCTGGGTACCAATGAGCTCAGTTTCGGGCTGAACTCCAGCTCATCCGTGGAGGAGAACAGAGTGTAATCCAGTACCAGGGCAGCTGGTGCAACTGCAACATGGTTGAGGCTGGGGGGGGCCCCAGTGAGATCTGGTCCCTGGCACCCCCCATTGGTAGAAAATGGGGCAGTCTAGGGTCCCTGGGGCAAGGTGGGAGGGGTGTCTGACAGGCTTCTGGGAGGGTGTGGGGTACAAACGGTTCCCACTCAGACTCCAGGCTACATCCCTAGTAACAGGCGACTAGACAGGAGAGAGCTGGAAATGGAGGAGGCTGAAAGAGGAGGGCAGGTGAGAGATGTAATGCATTAAGAGTATAGAATCTGGACTGTACAGGAAGCCATTAAGAACCAGCACCACTCAGATTCTTGTGTACAAAGAGATCTCCGTGTATAAATGGTTCAATGTATACATTATATAGATCAGTGTATACAGAAATGATAATGTGCTATACTCTTCACTGTGTATATAGAGATCACTGTGTATATAGAGATCACAGCGTGTGCTACGCTCCTCAGTGTGGCTATAGAGATCAGTGTGGATATACAGGAGCAGTGCAGCTGGTGCAACAGGCTCCTGTGGGGTGGGGGGTCCTGAGAAAAAAAAAAAGTCTTGCACCAGGGCCCTTTGTTGCTTAGGTCCGCCACTGATCCTGACATTACATAGTGGCTTGAAGCAGGATCCTGGCATTACATATTTACAAGATACATTTACTTTGCATCCAAACATCCTTACCATCATCCGGCTTTGGATCCAATTTAGGTACAGAAGTCGCTGGCTTCGGAGCTAAAGACAAGAAGGTAAAAGGTAACTCGCACTCTGAAACCTGTCACTTGCACACATGATAGAGGACTCAAGCACTTGAAGCAGGATCCAGAAATGGCTATGGGACAGCCCTTTATGCAATCCACTCTCTTTGCATAGCGAGAGATGCATTCATTAAGCTGTTTATTGTAATGGCTTGGCAGGGGAGCTGGTATCTACACATACAGTGTGGGCCCAGGGAGGTAAGTGCCTTAAGAATCCGCTAAAAGGCCACTATGCAACTTTCAGTATTTTGTCCTCAAGACACATTTACTTTACATCCAAACATCCTTACCATCATCCGGCTTTGGATCCAATTTAGGCACAGTAGTCGCTGGCTTGGGAGCTAAAGACAAGAAAGTAAAAACAGTAACTGAAACCTGCCACTTTTGGTAGAGTACTCCAGTATATAAAGAACCTGAACAGTCTCATGCTGAAACAATCATGTATATACACACAGTAAAAAGCAGAGGCAGAAAAAGGAAAAAAGCCAAATTTTCCAAATTATTTTCAGAATATCCATAGAACACATGCACTAATCTCCACCTTCATACTACTATAGTCTAGGACCTATAGGGTTTCCTACATACAGTAGCTGGTCCATACCTTCCTTGAGACTCTCTGCAATGATCGGTAAGATCTAGAAGGACCCATCTTAAACTGCCCATTAACAGTTTTTTTTTTGTTTGTTTCAACCCGCCGGCTTTGTGACAGCTGTGCACAGGAACCACTGCGAGTACAGAACTTTCTGCCCCCTAGAGAAGCAGGGACCCCATAAACCATGGCAGGGAGGGTGCAGTAGGCATGACTCATGCAGGCTGCCACAAGTGATCTGGGAGGCTATATAGCTGCCCAGATAACTTGTAAAAAAAAAGATCTGCCTCATGAAAAACCCCTGTTTTAGACCCAGGAACTCAAGAGCTCTCTGTACAATAGTATAGAAATGTTTAAGCATGTAGTAAAATCCAAAACGTATAAGCACTGGGTCCATGGCCTCATCAATAAACACCCACAGGCTTTCTACCAGACAGACAGCTTAACAGATGTTCCTTACTGATAGTGCAAATGCTAAAAAGATGCAATGTAATTTCCAAGGCTCGGCAGATAACTCTTTGAAAAACATTTCAAATCCAATGTAGTACGTATTACAGAGCTACAGTAATGACTGTTATTGCCAGCAATGATGCAAGTTATGTCTCAACTTTTTTACTAAAAAAAGTTCAAAGTCCCATTTATAATCCACTTTCTACTTTACAGTAGGTATCCACAAGACAACTCTAACACTTATTGTGGATTACGCTCGCTGACATTACCCCCCATTTACATTACATTGCAATTACATTTTACATCTTAAATAACTCACCATCTGGAGGTTTTACTGTTGTGGTTAATTTCTTTTCTGGTGTTGGGTTAACTGGAACTGATACACAGAAGATTAAACTCATGGCAAAAAAAAATCCCTTTTAAAAACAATACAAATTACAGTAGCAGACTATGGCACATATGTGCCATTTTAATTCAAGGCGATGAGGCCAAAAAGATACTTGATGGCCAACAGGCACCAAGATAGACTCCAAAAAAATGCATCAGTAACATAACTTACAACCATACTATGGCTACAAACATGTGGACTTTCACAGACTACAATGTGTATTTGACAGACAGACACCATTGCTGTCACTCAACTTGGCACTGACAGGGGGTACTATGTTTCAACAGGCAAACATTTTCACCCTGGCCAAAATCCACTGTTGCTACAGCTTTTGTGAGTATTTGGTACAAGGCATTTAATACTCAAGAGCAACCATACATAGCAAATATGTGCAAAAATATATGTAGGCAGTAGCATTAACTTTGGATTGATAGTGAGGACCTGGGCAGTATTTGAAGTGCTCACTGGTACAGAGAAAATCCATTCTATCCAATTCAAAAATATTTTCATCTCCAGAAGAATGTATGAACAATAGATGAATTGGACTTAAACGTGTGCAGGGTCCAGGAAATTTGGTTATCTGAGAAAGTATGGCTAGATTGCTTACTGCCTATTGTTCCTCTGCTTGTGCATGGCCACGTTTAAAATTCTGGGGATATCAGTCTCAAGATGCATGCTTTCTTAAGCAGAGGGGGCCTGCGTGGTGGAACCTTTAAGAAGAATGTAAGCCGCTAGGAACAATAGCCAAATTGCTATTGGCTATTTCAAATTGCAATAGAAGGCTGGCTATTGAAACCCCACCGACTGAGCAGAGGAGTGGCCCCAAGAGAGAAAGTTCTCTCTCTCAGGTTCGTTCCCCTGCTCAGTGAGTGGGGATAGCCAGTCTGCTATTGCATTTTGAAATGGCCAATAGCAGACAGGCTATTGAAACTGCACCCACTGAGCAGACCTGAGTCTCTCTCAGGTCTGCTCCTCTGCTCAATGGGTGGGTGCAATAGCCAGCCTGCTCTTGCAATCTGAAATAGCCAACAGGCTGGCTTTTTCTCCCCATTGTTTACATTCTTTTGTGGTCGGCAGCAGAATGTAAGCAAATAAATTTTGTTCGGTAACAATTTTAGCGTGCACCAAGAAACCAGCATTTTATGTGCACCAAGCCACCAGAAGAAAAAAATAAACAAGGAAGAATTAAAGAAATTACACTTTCTATATGCCTACTGCTCCCCAGTACCCTCGAATAGCAGGGAACTATAATGTGTATATCAGCCAACTTACGGAAACTTTGGCTCCCCCACGTTTCTGTGACTAATAGTGACCCCTCCCAAAGCACCAGCGAAAGCAAAAGGCGGGTGGCTGTTTGCATATTAGAGCATCCCATTGTTTGATCACCAGTGCACTCTACGAAACAGCAGACCGATATGGAGGTGCATGTAATACATGCATGTATTCTTTTTTTTTCCCCCAAAAAAGGTACACCTTAAACTAAGACTGGATAAGTCTGACACTAACTGTTATTCATTATTAAAAATGCAATGAAATTAACTAAGGGATTCTACAAAGTTCATATTCTATGTGCAGCCAGCTCACTTCAAACTGTAATATCTGCTCCAGGCACACAGGAGAAATGCGTACAGTAAAAAGGAGTTTTTCCTACCAAAGGATTAGTATGCCTGTCCATCCAGCTCATATACATAGCTTTATTATGCAGGGCAGCATTGTCTGGCAGGGCTGAAG